TTGGCAGTTTTTGCCACCAACTTGGAATTTCTTGCTTTCTAACGACATCAATGTCAGCGGCCATCCATGTACACATGCTAAATTCTTTTAAAGTAACAACTTTTTATCAATAAGTCATCATACCAACTATGTGATGAAAGAGATATATACACAGTGACACGACGAATCATGCCAAATTGCTATTTATATAAGGTTATATTCTTAATAGATACTATTCCTATTCGGCTCGCTTTTGTATAACTTACGTTCTTAAAACTTGTCCACAAATTTGTGCAGTGTGAAAACATGCCCATACTTAATTAGCCTTATGTGGGTTGGCTAATGTGTACGCATCAAACACATATGGATGCCGTACTGAAGGTTTTTTATTATGAGTGGACAAGAGGAGTGCTCGCCAGAGTCGCCCTCCAAGATTTTCATGTGGGTGAAGAAAAACCAATAAAGCTTAGAATACAACAACATTTTTCCCCCCTACCTCATGGTACATAAGTACATGTATGGTTGGGAGCTGCATGCCTCTGGTGCCATAAAATTTCAGATTTGAATTAGCAAAAGAAAAGGAAAAAAAAAATGGAGTCACGCAATTATGATGATCTCCAGCACTTTACAGCCAAGTTATGTACTGTTTGCTTGATTGGATCACATTCTCGTATGTGATTATTCCAATCAAAGTTGGTTCTGTTTTGTGTCTTGTGTGGTTTTTGTTTTTTGTGTTTTGGTAAGCGAGGTAGATGTTTTTTAACTTTTGATCATGCACGGTGTGTCTCACAATTATCACAAGAGATCCAATGAGTGAGGGCAATGTTCACAGGAGAACTTTCCACAATTAGCAAAGAGCATCCACTTTTTCCCGGTTAGATTAGATGGGGTAATTAGAGCCACAAGGCTGATGATTAGAAAACCATGTACATGTGGGGGAAGAGAGAGAGAGAGAGAGAGAGAGAGATTACATGATTCCAAGAACCACGTATGGCATGGGCTCATACTTTAAAAAGTTGTGGCATAAGATTTACAGTGATTTCCTCATCATGTGTTAAATTAATCACTGACCACTTATTATAAGAAAAACTTTGTTCAGATAATCAGAGTTACTATTGCACTCTATAGAAGTAATCATAAATTCTTTTAGGACAAAACTTTCCTCCTTACTTTCCATTGTGACTTAAACACAAAGTGACATGTTTCCTTTCTGTTTTTTGATCAAAACAGAAATATTTTTTTTTTTCCCCTTGGTAACATGATCCTGTATTGGAAAAACCTTCATGAAGAAACTATGTCTCCAATTGTTGTATGTGGAAACTTTGGTTGTAAATGGATTATTAAAGTTAGAGTTGGAAAGGGGCCACAAAGACTTAAAGTTTTGACTAAGGAAGGATATTTTATTTTATTTTTAAATGGTTGAGAAAAATCAAAGTGAAAAAAAAAAAAAAAACAATGGGAATTTTGTTTTTAGTTTTTGTTTTGGTAAAAAACTAAGTGTTCAGTAAAAGTGAAAAAAAGAAGAAAGAATTATTTGAACAACTAAGAAAGAGAGGGCATATGTCACTTTGTGATTGAGCCACAATAGAGGGTAACGAGTAGTTTCTCTTTATGAGTAAGCAGGGAAGTATTATCCTTCTTTTTAAGTGCAAATTTTGAAGATAGTTAGAAAAATCTATGTTTTTCTTATATATATAAAAAAAAGGTTCTTGCAAATTTTCCATGCAATGACTTTAAAATGTTCCCTTGGAGCCATTCCTTAATTTAAGTTAGTTACTAACTAACTATTGTTAGAAAAACGTTATATCCATGGATATTTCAGTATAGAAAAAGCAACTGTAATCATCACTGTTAATGGATATAGACCAAACATAATTAAATAAACATAAACCCAACTTGTATATCCTACGTAGGACCCTATATTGATTTAACAAGTAATGGTATGTGTTGCCCACTTGAACTAAGTAATTAATCTTCAAACGTTAATTAATGTTATAGTATTTCATTTATTTTCAATACGAAATCTTATTTATTATGCGGTATCAGTTGATGTGTAAGATGTAATAAGGTAATGTTCTAATGATTGTGTATTTTTACGGGATAAGATATCCATTAATTCCTACGTGTGCAAAGAAGGCTGGATTGAATCTAAATTAGAGAAAGAAAAGTAAACAAAAACTTGAATGGCTAAATGTAATTGCAGAGTCCCAGAGCTGCTAAAAAGCCTAAAGCTAGCCAAGCCATCACTCATCTCATGCATAGAAGATTGGGCTCTTTGGAAACCAAATCCAACGGCTAAGAAAGGTAGCAGATAGCGAGAAGGCTTATCTGCTGTCTGACTTCACCGAATGAATGTAGAGCGAGAGAGATAGAGAGAGAGCGAAACCAAAAACCAGAGAGATACTAGTACAAAACGTTGAGCTGAAGAGCGGGACCAGCCCGCCATTAATGCAGTACTATCCACCTTCCTTCTCAGCCAACCCTCTCTCTATTTTAAGCATCAAACTCAAACGAAAAAAAGCTTAGTCAACTTGCTCTCCGCTGGGAAAGTTCTTGGAATTTCTTGCTTTCTAACGACATCAATGTCAGCGGCCATCCATGTACACATGCTAAATTCTTTTAAAGTAACAACTTTTTATCAATAAGTCATCATACCAACTATGTGATGAAAGAGATATATACACAGTGACACGACGAATCATGCCAAATTGCTATTTATATAAGGTTATATTCTTAATAGATACTATTCCTATTCGGCTCGCTTTTGTATAACTTACGTTCTTAAAACTTGTCCACAAATTTGTGCAGTGTGAAAACATGCCCATACTTAATTAGCCTTATGTGGGTTGGCTAATGTGTACGCATCAAACACATATGGATGCCGTACTGAAGGTTTTTTATTATGAGTGGACAAGAGGAGTGCTCGCCAGAGTCGCCCTCCAAGATTTTCATGTGGGTGAAGAAAAACCAATAAAGCTTAGAATACAACAACATTTTTCCCCCCTACCTCATGGTACATAAGTACATGTATGGTTGGGAGCTGCATGCCTCTGGTGCCATAAAATTTCAGATTTGAATTAGCAAAAGAAAAGGAAAAAAAAAATGGAGTCACGCAATTATGATGATCTCCAGCACTTTACAGCCAAGTTATGTACTGTTTGCTTGATTGGATCACATTCTCGTATGTGATTATTCCAATCAAAGTTGGTTCTGTTTTGTGTCTTGTGTGGTTTTTGTTTTTTGTGTTTTGGTAAGCGAGGTAGATGTTTTTTAACTTTTGATCATGCACGGTGTGTCTCACAATTATCACAAGAGATCCAATGAGTGAGGGCAATGTTCACAGGAGAACTTTCCACAATTAGCAAAGAGCATCCACTTTTTCCCGGTTAGATTAGATGGGGTAATTAGAGCCACAAGGCTGATGATTAGAAAACCATGTACATGTGGGGGAAGAGAGAGAGAGAGAGAGAGAGAGAGATTACATGATTCCAAGAACCACGTATGGCATGGGCTCATACTTTAAAAAGTTGTGGCATAAGATTTACAGTGATTTCCTCATCATGTGTTAAATTAATCACTGACCACTTATTATAAGAAAAACTTTGTTCAGATAATCAGAGTTACTATTGCACTCTATAGAAGTAATCATAAATTCTTTTAGGACAAAACTTTCCTCCTTACTTTCCATTGTGACTTAAACACAAAGTGACATGTTTCCTTTCTGTTTTTTGATCAAAACAGAAATATTTTTTTTTTTCCCCTTGGTAACATGATCCTGTATTGGAAAAACCTTCATGAAGAAACTATGTCTCCAATTGTTGTATGTGGAAACTTTGGTTGTAAATGGATTATTAAAGTTAGAGTTGGAAAGGGGCCACAAAGACTTAAAGTTTTGACTAAGGAAGGATATTTTATTTTATTTTTAAATGGTTGAGAAAAATCAAAGTGAAAAAAAAAAAAAAAAACAATGGGAATTTTGTTTTTAGTTTTTGTTTTGGTAAAAAACTAAGTGTTCAGTAAAAGTGAAAAAAAGAAGAAAGAATTATTTGAACAACTAAGAAAGAGAGGGCATATGTCACTTTGTGATTGAGCCACAATAGAGGGTAACGAGTAGTTTCTCTTTATGAGTAAGCAGGGAAGTATTATCCTTCTTTTTAAGTGCAAATTTTGAAGATAGTTAGAAAAATCTATGTTTTTCTTATATATATAAAAAAAAGGTTCTTGCAAATTTTCCATGCAATGACTTTAAAATGTTCCCTTGGAGCCATTCCTTAATTTAAGTTAGTTACTAACTAACTATTGTTAGAAAAACGTTATATCCATGGATATTTCAGTATAGAAAAAGCAACTGTAATCATCACTGTTAATGGATATAGACCAAACATAATTAAATAAACATAAACCCAACTTGTATATCCTACGTAGGACCCTATATTGATTTAACAAGTAATGGTATGTGTTGCCCACTTGAACTAAGTAATTAATCTTCAAACGTTAATTAATGTTATAGTATTTCATTTATTTTCAATACGAAATCTTATTTATTATGCGGTATCAGTTGATGTGTAAGATGTAATAAGGTAATGTTCTAATGATTGTGTATTTTTACGGGATAAGATATCCATTAATTCCTACGTGTGCAAAGAAGGCTGGATTGAATCTAAATTAGAGAAAGAAAAGTAAACAAAAACTTGAATGGCTAAATGTAATTGCAGAGTCCCAGAGCTGCTAAAAAGCCTAAAGCTAGCCAAGCCATCACTCATCTCATGCATAGAAGATTGGGCTCTTTGGAAACCAAATCCAACGGCTAAGAAAGGTAGCAGATAGCGAGAAGGCTTATCTGCTGTCTGACTTCACCGAATGAATGTAGAGCGAGAGAGATAGAGAGAGAGCGAAACCAAAAACCAGAGAGATACTAGTACAAAACGTTGAGCTGAAGAGCGGGACCAGCCCGCCATTAATGCAGTACTATCCACCTTCCTTCTCAGCCAACCCTCTCTCTATTTTAAGCATCAAACTCAAACGAAAAAAAGCTTAGTCAACTTGCTCTCCGCTGGGAAAGTTCTTTATTTGAGCATCGTGGCCATTCGACCAACGCTAAAAGCATATACCCACCTCACTCTTTCTTTGTCTCTCTGTGATTAGATTTTAGTTTTGGAAGAAAAGAGGTTGGTTTTCGGATTTCCTTTATGTTTGTGTTTATTTTCTGTTTAGATTTAGAAAGTACGGTTTTTTTTTCGTTTAAAGAAAACTAAATTTAAGTTACAGTTAAAAAAACCAATCAAATTTGGGAAGTTTATCTTTTGTGGATGATACCCAACTTATTTTTTTGTTTGGTTTCCATTGAAAAGTTTCTGCTTTTACTCTAGATCTGTCTGGTTTCACTGTTCAATTTTGAAGTTCATTTCAAGTGTAGTCCGCTGATGCAATCTCTGATCTGCAGGCAGAGAATTCAGAAAAGGCGGTTGGTTTTCTAGGGTTGGTGTTCATGGGGGTCTGTTTAAGCGCGCGAATCAAAGCTGAGAGCCCTTGTAATACAGGTATATAGACTTCACGGCTTCTAATTATAACCCATGTGGCTGTACTTTTTTGTTTGTGTAGCTCCAACCATTAGGGTAAGTTGATCTTAGGAAATTTTATGGTTTAAATTTTACTCTCTCTCTCTCTCTCTCTCTCTCTGTGGTGCGAGGGCAAATTGTGGTTGAGCTGTGTGTTGGGAGTTTTATCTAATTATAGGGTGCTCAGCTGGAAGTTATTGATTTACTTGGTGGGTGTGGTTTCCTGGGAACACTAACCTCATTTTGATTCCGACCCTGTTTTGGAAATTAGATTACCTCGAATGGTATTTATTTTCCCATGTTTACTATGCTCTTAAAGAGTCTCTTTGGTTTACTTCAAGTTGCAACCAAACTTTAATAAAATACAGCCAGACAAAGAGAGGGGAAGTTAGAATTCCTTTAACTTCTCACTATTTTTTTTTAGCAAATATGGTGCAAAGGATTGAGTTAAGCGTGAATGGGCAATCTTATTCATACCTTGGTGGTGACTGTAAATTGATTTACACTTCACATTTACATGTGCAGGTGTGAATTCAAAAATCGTCAGCACTGATGGGAATCTCAGCACAAGCAGCAAGGTCTCATCATTTTCAGCGCCTCCAACTCCTCGGAGTGAGGGAGAGATCTTGCAGTCTTCCAATTTGAAGAGCTTTAGTTTTAACGACCTCAAAATGGCCACCAGGAATTTCCGTCCTGATAGTGTGTTAGGAGAAGGTGGCTTTGGTTCAGTTTTTAAGGGGTGGATTGATGAAAACTCATTTACTGCTGCAAAGCCTGGGACTGGTATAGTTTTGGCTGTGAAACGGCTTAACCAAGAAAGTTTTCAGGGTCACAGAGAGTGGTTGGTGAGTTATTTTCTCCTGATTATTTGATGCGCATCGTCATACTTGATTCTTTGATCTTATGCTTTTAAGCAGAACCTCTTAAACATTCACTTAAGGTAGAGTTAGCTTACAACAAGCTAGGCATGGATGCTTTGAGTTTCAACAAATTATCTTATGGGCGTTGGTGCTCTTAAGTGCCTACTAGAAAATCTTTTGAGTTTAGCAATTTGAAGATAAATGTTTACTCCTTTTCTGTTCAAGATTGACTTATTGTGTGCTTTTATTTGGGTTTATAGGCAGAAGTGAATTATCTTGGACAATTCCATCATCCTAATCTCGTGAAACTAATTGGCTTTTGCTTGGAGGATGAACACCGGCTTTTGGTGTATGAATTCATGCCTCGAGGCAGCTTGGAAAATCATTTGTTCAGGAGTAAGTTCTTTCAGTGAAAGCTCTGGATACCTTTGAAACAAGATGGTTTGAATTATTTATGTATTGAAAATTTAAACCGCTACTGTACCAGGGGGCTCTTATTTTCAACCTCTGTCTTGGAACCTCCGGATGAAAGTTGCCCTTGGTGCTGCAAAGGGGCTTGCTTTTCTTCATAGTTCTGAAACAAAAGTGATATACCGAGACTTCAAGACGTCAAATATCCTGCTTGATTCGGTATGTGACTACTGAAGGTGTTCAATACAATGTTATGATTACATTTTTATTCAATGGATTCTGGAGATCTTTTGACTTCACTGAGAGCTTCCCTGAGTATTTCCTTCATGTGTGATATAATTCCAGAACTACAATGCAAAACTTTCCGATTTTGGTTTGGCCAAGGATGGGCCAACAGGTGATAAAAGCCATGTCTCTACTAGGGTGATGGGGACCTATGGATATGCAGCACCAGAATATCTAGCCACAGGTATTGTAAATTTTATATTAATTTATAGTCCAAAACTGATTGGGAATCTTTAGTCATCTGTTTTCGTCATCTTTTTCCAGTTGCTTTTGACCATTCAACTTAGAATCTTTGCCATGTTCTTTGATTCATTATTCTTCATTTCCATATGCTAAAATTGACGCCTGTATCTCTTAATGATTCCATCTTTCACTAACTGAAGGTCATCTAACTGCCAAGAGCGACATTTATAGTTTTGGAGTCGTTTTATTGGAGATGTTATCTGGCCGGAGAGCAGTTGACAAGAATCGACCATCCGGGGAACATAATCTAGTTGAGTGGGCTAAACCCTTCCTGGCAAACAAGCGTAAGATCTTTCGCATCATAGATAACCGTCTAGAAGGTCAGTATTCAATGGATGGAGCTTATAAGGCAGCTAGCCTTGCGTCACGGTGCCTATCCACAGAATCCAAGCTCAGGCCAAACATGGATGAGGTTGTAACAGCACTGGAACAACTGCAAGACAATGGAAGCGGTCAAGGCAATGCAAGCAATGGGCAGAGGATGCGCAGACGAAGTGCAGATGATGCTATCAAAGCAAAGCGTGCAGCAGCAGATGCTACAAAGGCAGCTAACGAGTCAAGAAATACTGTCGCTTATCCTCGGCCCTCTGCTTCCCCTCTTTATGCTTAAGAATGGAGTAAAAGAAAATGGCAAAAGCTGCAATATAGAAATGTTTGCCCAGTGACTGTACAGTTTATCCTGGCAAATGTTATTCAAATTTCAACCCTCCCTTTGACAAATTATTAGGTGAGCTTGTAAAATGAGCAATGCCACGATGTTGTGTCTTCTGAATCACCAAATTGTAACAGTAGCTTCGAAAAGTAGGGATGGAAGTGCTTTTGTATGACTAAATGTCCATTTTTCTCCTGCACAGGGTTGCATATGGTTTTATTTTTTGACCCTTTCTTTTATTATAGGTGGGTTTGTTTGGCGTCCTACCGGTGTGTGTTGTATTATGTCTCTGTTTCTTCCCCAGGAGGAAAGGGAAATAAATTGATGAGCCTTTTAATATTTGTTAAATTGCGAAGAGTTGTCAAAATAAGCACAACGTCTGTTGGATAGAGAGATTATATAAATTAAAAATTACATTGGAAAAAAAAACCCCCAATGCATGGTTAAATTGCTTGATTTGATGATTAACGCCACAAATTTGTGAGAAGAAAAAGAAGCAATGCATGGATTTCAAATGGACTCATCAAATCCAATGTAGTCCAAATTCTTTCTTATACATATACATAATTTGAATGGCCAAGAATTCTATAGTGAGGGTATTATATTTAGTCCATAGATGAGGTCTTATTTATTAATCGTTAGATCAAGCTAACTAATTTGATCCAAACGGTTGTGAAATAGGGCATCACCTAAATGTCATATATAAGCCCTCACTATAGAATGGCAATCCCTACTAGCCGGTGATTTCTTGGGCTTAGTTAGGCCCAAAGACATTCTCTCTTATCTATACTGATTTAGGGCATTCGGCCCTCTTATGTATCCAAAAGAAATTGAAACCAAACAATCAAAGATAGTAGTGCTAAAAATTGTCGCTCTCTCACGCGCATGAGTAATACCTAACCGTTCGTGCATGCACAAATGGGTGATTTTCAGCCTTTCATGCATTGTGCGACCCACTTACATGGACGGTTAAGAGACCTAGAACCCATTTTGTGATGTGAGCTCGTCTTTATTTTGAATTCTTCTTTGATTGTGCGCGACAAGTCACATCTAACACCCTACCAAAAACTCTTACATCTCCCACTAAGCAGAAATTATAAATATCGCCACATCTGCTTGTACTTTGTAAACCTAAATAACAGAACATTTTGGATTACAAAACACATTTAACATTCGATTGCCTCTATTCACGCTCATCACTAGGACTAAGGGGAGAGAACATGAATTTGCGCCCCATTTTGTGTAATACAGAAAAGGATGCATGCCTCTAAAGTGCAGCCTCCTTTACAAATTATATTTACAACCATCTGGCAAAAAAGAAAAAAATGGAGAAGAACCTCATACCTCTATTAGTTTTGAAGAACAAGCATCTATTGTCTTCAATGTGAAGGTAGAAATGCACCCATCTTTCATTTCCGACAGGGAGCAAAGCAAATGGATGAAGCTTTTTTTTTCTTTTTTTTTTCTTCTGCCATAAACTTGGCTAATGGCTTAATCACCAAGTTCTTATCAACCCAGGGGTCCAGTTTCTCCAATCTAGCTTCCCAATAGATTTGTTTCTAAAGTTTACCATTTCTCTTATATCGAAAACCCTTTTTTTGTTTCCTTGTTTGGTAGTCTCGATCTCGGTCTCCTCCACAGTTTCTTCCTTCGCTTCTTCAGTTTCAATAACAGGTTCATGGACAACCTCATCTTGAGATGACAGCTCATCTATGATGCTTCCTAAAACCACAACCACCTCACTCATTTTTGGGCGAGACTTTGGTTGTTTTGATAGACACCTGTTAGCTAATGATGCAAGTTTTTGAGCTGATTTGATACAATACTGTCCTTCAAGCCGAGGGTCCACAATGAGGTGGAATTTCTTTGAGTCTGAAACATAAGGCCTGACCCATTCCAAAAGCTTCTGCTCACTCCGTGGCAAATTTCTCTCCACCGCCCTCCTTCCTGTGATGAGCTCAAAGAGAACCACTCCAAAGCTCCATACATCACTTTTGGCAGTCAACCTCCCTGTTTGTACATATTCCGGCGCCGCATATCCTATGGTGCCCACAACCTATAAAAATGAATGTTCATTGTAAGTAATGCACTGCGCATAATAGCAGACTTACAATCCGCAAAAAAAAACACAAGCAAAGAAGTCAGAAGTTATCATTAATAGGTTCCATTTCAAAAGAGGGTCTATAATATTCAGACAACTATTTACTTTTTTCCAATGACTTTGTGATTGTGTCCCAACATGTTAAGATGATGATATGCCCAAATAAACTGTAAAAAGATAAACCTTCTCTGCTCAAAAGATAATACAACTTACAGATGTAGAAACATGACTTGTTCCCTGTGGAGGTCCCTGCCTTGCCAGTCCAAAGTCCGAAAGCTTTGCATTGAAGTCCTCATCTAGCAGAATGTTTGACGGTTTAAAATCGCGGAATATTAGCTGCACCAATTATAAGGCAGATCCAAATCATATTGACTAGCGAGCAGTTGAGAAAGTAACCTAAAGAAAATATAGGCCACCGAATATGAGAAAAGTGGCGGAGGCATTTACTTGCAGATATAATCTGTTATTAAAAAAAAAATCAGTAAATTTAAGTACACAAGGGAACAAGGGAAAAGACTACAGACCATTGATCTATATCTGTACTTTAGATAATGAAAACGTGAGCATAAATATGTATACAATCCAAACATGGAAACAAAATTCAGTGGCAATTTTATTAAAACATACAAGAAGGTACCTGAAAATCCATTTCTTCATGCAGATATGCCAATCCACGTGCTGCGTCTTGAGCAATTTTTAATCTTGTCATCCATGGGAGAGATGATGGAAATCGAACCAATAGATGGTCCTCCAAGCTTTTATTACGCATAAGTTCATAAACCAGAAGCCGTTGAATCCCCCTTTCATCATCTTCTGCACAGTATCCCACTAACTTAACAAGATTTGGGTGCTTGACAACGCCCAATAAGTTTACTTCATTAATCCACTCCTTATGACCCTGAACACTAGAATGAAAAATAGCGTAAACCTCAAAAAACTTGGACAACTACAATTCCAAACATAAAACATGTAAAGTAAAACTGCATCTGGAACTAGCCACTAATCAGATTCTCCTATGAGCAAAACATACTTGTAAATCTATACACGGTTAGTTAGTACAGAATCTATGCTCTAACAAGCTTTACACTTTAACGTCATATTCCTTTCTAGAACAGTTGTTTATTGTTGAAATATGCCATTTCCCAGCCTGTATTCAAGCAATGTAACTGAGATGACACCACAAATCCACCTTATCTAGAATTCAAGCAAACTTTTCCACCCCAACCCCACAAACTAACAAAAAACCAAAACTAAAAAGAACCAAGAAAGCAATAGTCCCAGAAAAAGCAGAAAGTGAACACTGAACAAGATTGATTCCCAAACAGTTGAAATGAAAGGCTTCAGCAATTCAAAAAAAGTTCTAAAATTGCTTCATAAAACTCTGTAAAATAATAATCCAAAGCAACACTTCGATTGTTCGAGTCAATAAAAATCGAAAACTTTCACAAACACATAATTTTTTCTTGACAATAACAAAGCCAAAAGTTCAAATTTCAATATAAAGAAAAAAGAAGGATCAAGGGGCATGCCTGGAAGCCATTACGATTCAACTGTTTGATAGCAACGTCCATTTTAGTGGCATCGTCGTCAGAGCCCTTGACGATCCCTCTGTAAACGCACCCAAACCCTCCTTCCCCAATCAGCAGGGCCCTACTGAACCCTCTGCTCGCCGACTTGAGCTCCGAGAACTTGAACACCCTCAGATCATTGGCTCGCCGCAGGCTCAGCAACTCCTGGAAGGCGACCGAGTCGGACAGGTCCCTCGAGTCCAAGTCGAACTCAGACCGCCGAGTGGTGTCGTAGCTGCTGGAGGCCACGCTGAGTGAACGCGCCCACGACACCTTCGACGCCGCCCGACAAACGACGCCGGGTTCCTCGTCGTCCCGCCTCTCCCCATTAGTGAAATGGAAGCACTTCATCTGCCCCAAAAAGTCTGAACGAACTTCCCAAGTCGCAGAGAGAGATAAAGAGAGAGAGTCAAGAGAGAGGGGCTTGGAATTGGATCACAAGTCACAAATTCACAACGACGAAGTTGGAAATATTTTTTATATATATGTTATTTTTCTTCAGAACAGAAAAAGAAAGTAGGAAATAGTTTTTGTCTTTGTATTAAGCAAAATTAGGCGGCGATTTTGTTGTGAAAAAGGCAGAAGCAAACAAAAAAGTCGGTAGTTTTTCTTGTTTTTTTTGGTAAACTTTGTGTTTCATTTTCAAATAAGGGAAATATTGGAGCAAAATAGTTGACACCATTGAGTTTTAAGTTGTCAAGCCAAACTTTATTTATTGTCACTCAATTGTACAGCATACTTACCTTTTTTAATTATATGAATTGTATAGTTACTTAATGTCCCGATATCTTGAATTACAGGGGTCTAAGATATTGTGGTCACCCACCGTTGGATGTTAATTTAAGACCCCTGTAGTCCAAGAGATCGGTATTGTAGTTACTTATTGCATAAATACACTAACACCTCCTGAGGTTTTCGATGTTTTTACAAAATTTCTTGAGGTTTCAAAATTTACTCGAACACCCTCTTAGGTTTCAGATTGTTTTCACAAAATTCATTTTCGTTGATTGCTCGTCCAAAAATTGATGATTTCATTACAAAAAAAAATATATATAAATGACAAAATTAACCTTAATGAATGAATGTGCAATCTACTTTCAAAGGTTAACTTTGTCATTTAGAGAATTTTTTTATTTATAAAATTACTAATATTTAGATGAAAAATCAATGAAAAGGATTTTGTGAAAACAATTTAAAACTTCAAGGGGTGTTCGTGTAATTTTTGAAACCTTAAGAGGCTTTGTGAAAAGCCCCAAAATCTTAAGGGAGTGTTAGTGTATATAACACTAAACATAATAATTATATGCAAGATGCTTGTAGTTCAAGTGATTAATAATAGTTATTTTAACACCCGACATCTTCAATTTGAATTTGTGTCTCTAATATCGCTTGCATAAAAATATTTATACAAATTATCTTTTATTATTGCCAAAAAGGAGTACAATAACACAAAAAATAAACACACAATGTCCAAGATAAAGAATCTACAAACTCAAATTCATGGTGTTACATAATAATAGTTGTAATCCTGGTGTCAAGAGACAAGAAAAACTCGGAAGCTTTCTAGCTGAATGATCAACACACTTCAAATTAAAATCGAAATAGAAAATTAAAACTAATGATCATTTATTTGAGAGGGATCTAATTTTTAAAGTAAATTTAGGTTTTAGCTATAAAAAAAATTCACTTTTGGAAAAAGCCAAACCTTTTTCAAAAAAGACAGAAAAACCTTTCAACTTTCAAATCAAAGACATGCAAATGTAAAGGATTCCTTAGGAAATCCAAAAATAAATAAGGGCAATTTTGTCCATTGTGGCTTATTTTACAAAATTTCTCTCTCCTTTGTGTTTTTCCAAAATCTTCCAATTTTTAATTTGTTTTGATGCAGTCTCAGGTTCAAATTTCATAAATGGGGATTGTTAAATAAGAAAAAAGAAAAGAAAAGAAGATTAAAATGGTGGTATGTTTTCGAGAATAATATAGTGTGTGTGTAAGCTGTACAATGATTTTATCTCTCCTTTTTTTTTGTGTTTTGTGTTTTGTTTTGTTTTTTTTGTTTTTTGTGTTTTGGAATTGAAAGCCCAATCGAGGGCCCATTGTTGCTTTTGTGGGACGAGTCAGAGTGGATCACGAGCGACTGCAGATTTTGTTGCTTAGTACGATATTGGTGGGCCCGCGTGGCCGTTGAGGGGCAAAAGAGGAATTTTACGTGTCTGCTCTATTTGTCTTTTTGATTGGGTCAAGTTGATTGGTCACCTCTAAGTCTAACCACGTCATTGTCCTCAAACTTGTCAAGCTGTCCATTCCTTCTAGAAATGTATGCCAGCCAATGACCAAACCATATTATTTCCGTTTACAATATAAGCATAAATTCATCTTTATTTTATTTTCATACCATGGATGGATGCGTCTCAACGACACTATCACAACCCTAGACTTGTGTGTTCGTGTATCAGCTACTTAAGCGGAATCGACTGACGCTAACATAATATTTAAATTAATAATCACATAACATATAGTATGTTGTATGCTGTATGAGGAATGCTAATGACATTTTATTTTGTAATTTCTATTTTTTATTTCCATTTTGGAGGTCATCTTTCAAGAATCATTCATGTTAAAAATCAACCGAGTCGTTTAGTCATTTGATTAACGATGTGATAATTCAATGTATAATCAAACAACTGGTTGGTTTATTTATTTGATAACTAAATTATTTATAATTTAGTTATATTTTTTTATTAAATAACATTGCACAACAAGAACGAGAAAACAGAAGGTACATAAATAAATACAACTATAATATTCCTCATTTTAAACTTGTCCGTTTGTATCGTGTACCATTATCGATTATACCTTCTACAAAATCACCAAATTACTAGATCAAGATTGCTTATATCACAATATTCTACCAGAAATTCCATGATCAGTTTCATCTTGCTTAAAGTTTACGAGTAGCAAAAGTAAAAAATGTGTTTAGGCAATAATAATGATGCGCAAAAGAGTTGTGTGGGGGGGAAATTCACAAGCAACAAAGTTAACTGTAAATCATTAGAGGGGGACAATACAAGCTTCGTAAGCAACAATTACAATTATAGACTTGTGTAAAGGAAAACAACAAAACAGGGGAGTTGCGCCAAATACAAGGTAAAAAAAGAAACATTTATAATGTACCGCAATGATAATGTAGTCTTCAGTCTTCTTCCCAGCATTACAAGCAACGGCCCACATTAACCCGAATTAAAAAAGTGGCCTCGTTTGATTCGCGGATTGAACTTCTTAAGAATATACTTTACAAAACGCTACTACAATAAACCCATTCACCATTAGTCAATCAATCCTATTTACATCCATTGTTTAAAGAGCTAAAAGAGAAATTAAATATTCTATACGCAATTTATAGGAGCCTTGATATATTATATACCAAATATTCGAACTGTGCAAGCTTGTTGTTCTAGATGACGTGCTAAACCCACTCTCTCAATCAATGTTGAAAGTTGATATTTCTTCTCATATCAGTTGAGTTTCTGATGGAGTATTTTCCAAGTTATACGCAAAGTTTGTTCTAACTTTTTCTACAAGAACTGTCTGGATACACATGGGCTTGAATTTGTATTTTTTTATTTTTTTGGTGTATGAGTCATGATTTTATTTTATTTTTAATGCGGCCTGGGTCATGATTTGTGAATGTTTAATCCTGCGAATTTATAATATTAATATCTTTTCTGTATGCACGAGTAATAATATTGAGATCGCCTTACTCATGGGTTGCGTTTGGCTCATGGAAAAGGAGGTTTAGGAATAAGAAATCAATTGGTTTCGTATGTTTGGTAAGTCCAGGCATGAAAAATGGTTGCATGACACGTAGGAAAATAGAGGGGAAAATGTAACCCTCCTCTCCCTTGTTCGGTGTTGAGAAAGGAATATTCACACTTCCATTTTGTTACATCTTTTATGTTTATGCTTTGTACCCCTTGGTTTATTGGCTAAAATATATTTTTGGTCACTGTCAAATTGATAAGTGTATTGAGAAAAATAGTTCTCTGATATATTGATAGAGCCAAAGTGGCTTGATATATATACAAATTTTGCATAGATTTACAAGGAAACAAAAATGCTTGGAGCCTACGCTAAGTCTGTACAAACTAGGAAAGCAAATTGACTCCGTCAGCAATTTAATGACAATTTTTGAAAATTTTCTCTAATTGGCTTCAATCACAACTAAAAACTTGTCTAAGCTCATAAATACATGTTGTGCATCTCGCAACATCTAAGCCATCTTAGTTATCTAACCGTCTAAAACATGACACATCAGTTGTTTAAAATTGTTTTTCTTTTCTATGAGGAAAATTGTTTAACAATAATACTTGTTTTATTGTTTAAATATAAATAAAAATACAAACAAAAAACCAAGCTAGAGGTGAGGGGGGCTGCCACAAAGTGAGAGCGGATTGTACGGCGGCTTGGGTGGGGGTGTTTGGGTAGGCGTGGCGGAGACATTGGTGGTAGTTTTTTGGTTCTTTTAATTTTGGATTTTATGAATTTTAATTGAATTTTTAAGTTATTAGATTTTGTTTTGTTTTGTTTTTTTTTAATTTAAAGTTTAATGATATGTCATCTCTCAAGCAGTTAGATTATTAGAATGGTTGAGATGTTGCGAAATGTGGGTAAATGCGCAATATGTAAATGTAGAGGTTAGGAATCCCTAGTGTTGATTCAAACAAGAAATTAAAAAAATCCCAAACTTGGAGTTAAAATAATTTTTCTCATAAACCAAATGCATTTTAAACGTTAAGTTGGAATCTGAAACGGCACTGTTCATCCGGTCGAATTCAGATATGGATATAACATTATCCAATCATTAAAAACAAATGTCAAGTATCGTAAATTATTCAAAACTTGCATACAAATTTATTATTTACGCGTGCACATGGTGTCGCCTTTAGAGACTTGGTCACTTGGAATTGGAGTGGGTGGAGTATTTGTCAAACCAACCATCTTATAATTCTTTCTAAGTTGCAGAGAGGATAAATTCCGGCTTCTCAAAGTCACATGGAATTTCCAGTGATGACCCCACAATAAATTCTTCTTATTTATTTTATTGCATTTCCGATCCAATTTAATATACAATAGTGGAACAGCTCAGGTATAAACGAGAGTCCCAGGAACAAGAAGAGTCAAATTGAAAACCTTCGAGAGGGCCTATGTCACTAGCTGAGTTATAACTTATCTTTCATTGACATGGTAAAACAATTGTTTGCTTTCATCATTTGAATGTGTTTATAATTTTTATTTTATCGGTCTGAGTGAGAGATGTCACATTGTTTACAACACATCCAAATCCACAGTTTGATTCGTTCATGCCTAGAGGTACTTTTTCTCATCCAAATCCATCGTTTGTTTATAAAACTGTGCTTACAAAACTAACCCAAAAGTACTTAAA